TAGTGCAGAGTATGTATTTTAAGTCAAAAACTTGAGTTTGAGTCTAACTACATGGCAGTGTTAACAAACTTACAAGTAACTTAACATTGCTAAAAATAAGGAAGAATATTTGTGAAATTTACTTTGCAGTTAGTAAAGCATTATGCAAATATTGGTAATTGTTTACAGAAATTATTACTTCTCAGATTTAAAGTTTTAAGAAAATATTATATATATATGTTATTTGTGTCTGTTGGAAAAAAACTTCAGATTATAGCATGTTTTTCTTTTTTCCGTTAATAATAGGCCTTCACTATCCTATGTGATATTTGATGATCTTCAGCCATCAGATTATGTCAGGAGGGCGTGACATGTTAGAGCCTTTAGTTTACACCCCTGATTCTTCGTTGCAGTCTGAGTTGCTCAGCTTTATTTTGGATCATGTCTTCATTGAACAGGATGATGATAATAATAGTGCAGGTAATTTTTATTGCCACTTTTTTCTTAAATTTGTGTGTCTACCATAAAATTTAAGTAACAATAGTGTTCCTTTTTGCACTGCATTATATTTTAACCTTAAAATGTGAAGTACCTATATGTTCTAGCATACTTTGTTCATTATTTATCACATTGTAAACAAAATGTGACATCACAGGCATAGGCTTTCAAGTCAGTTCTCTGCTTCTCACTAGCCCTGAGCCTGTTTTCTAATTTGTAGCTATCTTATAAAACTGTCAGAATTAATTAAAATTAAGCAAAGTGATCAGTACAGTACCTGGACATACTGTGTTTCCCAAAAAATAAGATCTACCCATAAAATAAGCCCTAGCAGGATTTCTAAGCATTTTCACAATATAAGCCCTACCCCCAAAATAAAACCTAGTGGTAGGCGTGGCTAAGCAGCATATCTGCACAACCCATGCATTTTGTGGCGTAGTGGTAAAGAAGACAAGCAGCCCTTCTCATCTGCCCCATCGTGACAGCTACTATCACAGAGGTGACTGGAAAGGTGTGGGCAGCCCCACCAACAAGGTCGGCTCCCCCTGTCAGGTCCCGGCCATCCTGTGTGTGCTGCAAGCTGAGGCTTTGAGGGGAAAATAACACATCCCCTGAAAATAAGTCCTAGGATGTCTTCTTGAGGAGAAATAAATATAAGACCCTGTCTTATTTTCGGGGAAACATGGTACATCATAGGTACTCAATAATATTTACTCCCTCTTCCCCTTATTTGTTGGTAATATCAATATTCAGGTAATTTGAGAAGAACTTTTTATTGTATACTTTTGTGTCACATGGGTTTTTATATTTTGTGAGAGTATTAATGTGATTTCTGAATATTAGGAAAATGTTTGAAATTGTTCTGTAAAAGTCTGGGGCAGTACAGGATGTTTGCAGGAAAATAATCAAACCAGCCTGACCTAGTGTTAAGTTACTCTTCACACCCTAGTTGCCTTACCTGAACCTGAGGTCATGGAAAAACAAGTAGTATTTGGTCCCTTCTTTCTGAGTTTATTTTTAATTTAAAGTTATTCTTGAAGAAAAATACAACATCAGCATGTATATATCCATACTAATATATCACTGCATGTCAGGTTCTAAATAAACATACACAAATCTTGACATGGCCAGGTATGGTGTCTCATGCCTGTAATCCCACCACTTTGGAAGGTTGAGGTGGAAGGATCTCTTGAGTCCAGGAGTTTGAGGTTGCAGTGAGCTATATGATGCCACTGCACTCTAGCCCTAGCCCTGGCAAAAGAGTGAGACCCTGTCTCAAAAAAAAAAAAAAAAAAAAAAAGACATGATCTGTAGCTTATTTTTAGCAATAAAGAATTTTGTGCTCACATACTAAAAACTTACCCAGAACATAATTGAGAAACCTGGAGTAGCCAAAACAGTTTTCAAATTCCATATAGTAAAGTTTATATACTTTCAGTTAAGCTTTTATTCATAACATTGATTTGACAAACATTTATTGATCAGCAGCAGTATATTAGATGCTATGGATATAAAAAAATGAGGCAAGATCTCTTCAAGAATTAAATTCAAGTGGGAAGGACATCTAAAAACAAGTAGTTATAATGCAATCTGATAAGTAACAAAGGCATGTACAAAGTGTTATGGGCATGTAGAGGAAGCTCTATCTGGTCTGCAGGGCTTGAAACATCTTTGAGAAAAGCCTAACATTTGAAATGCACCCCCAAAAAATGAATAGGACTTTTAAAATTTTCTATGGGAAGGCATAGTTGCATTCTAAAACCTGATACAAAATAAATTGGTACATAATCCTTTTGTTAATTGGGGACTGCCTCAGCTTCATTTAGACCACAGGAAATTGAATGAGAATATGCTTGCCAGTACTCCTGAGTTTTCTAGGAACTTCCTAGAATTACCCACAGAGTGTTATCCGCTTGGACTTTGTATTTTATATTTACACTTTTACAATGAAATATATTCTAGCACTATGAAAACGTATAAAATAGAACAGATTTCTACATATCCACCCACCAGTCTTTGTCAGATTTAGCTATATTTGTTTTAGATTTTTTAAAGAAATAAAGCATAGTTATAAAAAAGGACCTCATTTTTGTCCTTCCCCTATCCCAGTATTCCCCCCCTTTTCTCTAAATATAACAGCTATCTTAAATTTGCTGTTTATCACACCTTTGCATTTTAATTTTATTTTACTAGGGATTTATGTATCTGTTAACAATATATATTTTCTGTTGCTAACTTCCACATAAATGGTATCATGTTGAAACTTTTGTGACTTGCTTTCGACTTTTAACATTTTTGATATCTTTCAGTGTTGACATGTGGCTATATATAATTTATTCATCTTAACTGCTAAACATTATGTGATATGAATTAACCACAATTTATTTATCTATTTTCCTATTGTTGGACATTTAGGTTGTTTCTACTTTTTACTCAGTTAAAATAATGTTAAAGCAGTTTACCTAGTTAAAATAATGTTAAAACAGTTACTCCAATGTTTAAGTCCTTGAGCACATGTGCAAGTGCTTTTCCAATGTATACCCAAGAGTGGAATCCATGGATTATATAGTGTATGTGCATCTTAAACTTGATCACGTTGCCAAAGTGATTGTATTGTTTTATCTTCCTTCCAGTAATGTGTGACAATTTCCACTGTTATACATCCTCATCTCATGCCTGTTATTACAGACTCTTGGATATTTGATTTGTTATCCCACATCAGATTAGAAAGGGAGAGTAAAATAGGGAATGCTTCTAGAGGTGGTATACTGATAATACATAATTATATGATAGCTGACACTTTATGAAAGGCTCAGTGAGTTAGGCACTTCTCTATGTTCCTTAATCTCTGCAAGACAAACAGTGGCTAATTTGGGGTAAGCAAGAAGTGGAGAAAAATAAAAACCAGAGCTTAAAAACTCTTAATATCATCGGATAATTTAGTCTGTTGAGGGAAATGGTCTGTATACCTCTAGTTCCTGTGAGCAGTACTAAACACTGATTGGAAACAATATCATGTAGAAATCATCTGTTATAATGACAGATTCATTGAGAAAAGGTTAGTGTGTATGTATATTCAGTGTAACCCTTTTAAAGAGTAAATAATATGTTTCAAGTTTCTAAGCAAATGGCCTTGACATCCTGGGACATCCACTTGTGCTAAAACTTTTTCTGATGGTCTTTTTTTTTTTGAGACAGAGTCTCGCTTTGTTGCCCAGGCTAGAGTGAGTGCCATGGCGTCAGCCTAGCTCACAGCAACCTCAAACTCCTGGGCTCAAGTGATCCTCCTGCCTCAGTCTCCCAAGTAGCTGGGACTACAGGCATGCGCCACCAGGCCCAGCTAATTTTTTCTATATTTTTTTTCTTTCTATTTTTTTACTCTTGCTCAGGCTGTTTTCAAACTCCTGACCTCGAGTGATCCGCCCGCCTCGGCCTCCCAGAGTGCTAGGATTACAGGCGTGAGCCACCACGCCCGGCCTCGATGGTCTGTCTTAAACAAACTCTTATTCTTAAAATTTGGTTTGAATTTCCTAGAAGTTATCAAGGATTACCAGAGCAGGTTAAATAATTAACTAACTAACTAACTAACTAAAAAGTAAAAGAACATTCATATTTTATACAAAATATTTTTTATATTAGGGATCTTACATTGAAGATCTGATAGGATATGCACAGATGGTTCACAAAAGAGGAATTATAAATGGCTAATAAACATTGAGAAAAATTTTAACTTCACTTGATAACCAAAGAAATGTAAATTAATGAGATGGAGGTTTTTTTAAGTAATTTCATTTGTAAAATCTGTCCAGAGAAAAATTTTTTACACGGCTTTTTATGTAAGAAGGCTTCATCACAGTTGTATTTACAGTATCAAATAATTAGGAACAGTCCTTTGGCAGTACTTGAAGGCTGCAGTGGGGCTTCCCTGACTATGAATTTGGAAAGAAGTCTGTTCTCATGAGAACTGAATGTCAGGATCTCACATGATGGATCAGAGCAGAAATATGTGAAGTTATCCTAAAAAGACACAATGGTTTTTAGGCCGGCCTAACTGAATATATTTAGTATGTATAAAGGAAGAATGTGTCAGCAAGAGATAGGGGTACGGTAAGGTGGGATCATCCTTGGCAGGAATAGGAGAATTTCTGAGGTTGACTGCATTCAGGAAAGAAGGAGCCTTAAGCAACATACATTGAATATGCAAATTTCATTGACAAACTACCTGTTAGGGAATTATATGAATGTATTAGGCAAGCTTAACCTGACTTCACTAAACATCAATTCCTCTGACTCAACTCCATTTGTTCCTGTTCCATGTTTTCCAAGCAACCTCCTGATTATTATTTGATGTCACAAAAATTAGGTGTATTGGAATAAATTACAAATGGTTATAATTTTTAATTTAAATGTTTTTCCTGTTTTAAATTCTCCAATAAAAAGATGTTTTATAGTAAGAATTAAAAATAATATATTGTTGAAGTAAAGTACAAGATGGCTTAATGTTTGGGACTCTTTTTTGCCAGACGGTCAGCAGGAGGATGAAGCCAGTAAAATTGAAGCTCTGCACAAGAGGAGAAATTTACTTGCAGCATTTTGTAAGCTAATTGTATATACTGTGGTGGAGATGAATACAGCTGCAGATATCTTCAAGCAGTATATGAAGGTAAAGTTCAAACATGGATAACAAGATAGTTTTTAAATGCTTAAAAGATAATTGTGGCCAGGAGCGGTGGCTCACGCCTGTAATCCTAGCACTCAGGGAGGCCGAGGTGGGCGGATTGCTCAAGGTCAGGAGTTCAAAACCAGCCTGAGCGAGACCCTGTCTCTACCATAAAAATAGAAAGAAATTAATTGGCCAACTAATATATATATATATATATATATATAATAATATATATATAATATATATATATATAAATCAGCCGGCATGGTGGCTCGTGCCTGTAGTCCCAGCTACTCAGGAGGCTGAGGCAGGAGGATCGCTTGAGCCCAGGAGTTTGAGGTTGCTGTGAGCTAGGCTGACACCACAGCACTCACTCTAGCCTAGGCAAGAAAGCGAGACTCTGTCTCAAAAAAAAAAAAAAAAAGATAATTATAAGCCTGGGTTTTATGCTTGGTTGCCATTGAATTGTTGTTGTTGTTGTTGTTGTTCAACCCTAACAGTCCTGGAGCCTATTATTTGAATTTTCTAAATAATAAATTACTTTTGGCTGGGCGTGGTGGCTCAAGCCTGTAATCCAAGTGCTCTGGGAGTCCAAGGCAGGAGGATTGCTCGAGGTCAGGAGTTCAAGACCAGCCTGGGCAAGAGTGAGACCCTGTCACTACTAACACAATAGAAGGAGACCCCGTCTCTACTAAAACAATAGAAGGAAATTAGCTGGACAACTAAAAATATATAGAAAAAATTAACCGGGCATAGTGGCACATGCCTGTAGTCCCAGCTACTCAGGAAGCTGAAACAGAAGGATTGCTTCAGCCCAGGAGTTTGAGGTTGCTGTGAGCTAGTCTGACGCCATGGGACTGTAGCCCAGGCAACAGAGCAAGACTGTCTCAAAAATAGATAGATAGATAGAGAGATAGAGAGAGAGAGACAGAGAGAGAGAGAGAGAGAGAGAGAGAGAGACAGACAGACAGACAGACAGACAGACAGACAGATAATCTTTTTTCCAACCTGCTCAAGTAAATTACTTTTCTAATATAAAATAATTCTATTTAAAATATTTAATATATTCATTAACATTGCCTTATACTTCAACTCCTCTAGTTAATAGACATTTGGGTTTATTGTATTCATTTGCATTTGGAATATTGGAAATGGCCTCTCCTAGGTTAGCTCTTGTTATTAGAAATTGCATTTCTGATTTATTCTAAGGTAACAGGTTTCTGTCCTTCCTGAGCTTGATGTAGAATTAAGAAGTGTTCTTTTAGAGGAGTCTGGAGACCTGGGTGGTGTTTTTAGCTTGATTATTACGTATCTTGTGACCTTAAGTAATTCAGTGCCTTTTGCATCCCGAGTTTCTTCATCTGATCTGCTATGGGATAGCTAAGGTTCTTTTTGGTTCTCTAAGTTTGACTTGATTCCAAATACGTTACTCATATTTTTCCTAAATATATGTGAGATTCTCTAATTTTGAAGTAGTAGTAGAAAAGATATTGTTAATTATATCAACAGAATGTGACCAAATATGGTAAGAGAGTTTTTAAAATCCTTTCTGAAGTAAAATCTAATTGTAAGTGTAAAACTTTTTATAGCCTTTGCTTTAAGAAATTATATATCTATGTACATATATATATATCAAGACCAAGTTAATCCCTTCTTTATAATATTTTGCTACATGAAAGAATTCTAGTACCATTGAAAATTACTTTGGAATTTCAAACATTTGGCATGATAATTGTTAGTTTTTTTAAAAAACTAAGGTTGCTTATGAAGTTATTTCACAATTTTTTTTTTTTTTTTTTTTGAGACAGAGTCTCACTTTGTTGCCCAGGCTAGAGTGAGTGCCATGGCGTCAGCCTAGCTCACAGCAGCCTCAAATTCCTGGGCTCAAGCAGTCCTGCTGCCTCAGCCTCCCAAGTAGCTGGGACTACAGGCATGCACCACCATGCCCAGCTAATTTTTTCTGTATATATTAGTTGGCCAATTAATTTATTTCTATTTTTAGTAGAGACGGGGGTCTCACTCTTGCTCAGGCTGGTTTCAAACTCCTGACTTTGAACGATCCACCTGCTTTGGCCTCCCAGAGTGCTAGGATTACAGGCATGAGCCACCGCACCCAGCCTATTTCACAAATTTTAAACTTAGATTTAGGTATTCTAGATTAAAGTCAGTTTTATTAATAGGAAAGTGGTTAGTCTGTTTTCTCTGATAGTTATATATGTATTTTGAAATATGGTCTCAAATTAGAAAAGAAAAAGTTCATGTACAATGCATAATGTAAATGTCATGCACAATAAGTTTTCTTTTAAAAGGGGTTTATGGCTGGGTGTGGTGGCTTGCACCTGTAATCCTAGCACTTTGAGGGGCCTAGGTGGGAGGAATTGCCTGAAGCCAATAGTTCAGGACCAGCCTGGGCCACACACAGTGAGACCTTGTCTCTACAGAAAGTTCTGAGAGTAATTATGATTATATTCATTGTCTTAATAGTTCACAAAGAGAACTTTGTTTATATCCTTTGTGTTACTTCTGAAAATCTACATAACCCAATTATTGTTTTATTCCATACCTCATTTATTTAAAACCAAGTCTGGAGCTTTATTTGATTGGGTCTTAATTGTTCGGTATGTCTGAACTTACAGAAGTTAAGGTTTTGTGCTTAGAAATGATCTTAAAGTCTTGGTATCATTAGTTCCTGTTTTGTAAGGCATAATTTCAGCCAAATATATACTTTGTGAAATGTTTACATGACTAACATAAAATTATTCTTATTGTCCGATAGTTTTAATATATAAAGCACTAATTTGTGTAAATTTCTTTTCTAGTATTATAATGACTATGGAGATATCATCAAAGAAACAATGAGTAAAACAAGGCAGATAGACAAAATTCAGTGTGCTAAGACCCTCATTCTCAGTCTGCAACAGGTAAGGCATTAAGAGTACCAGTTTTAGGTAACATAATTAACACTTAATAATTAGCAGAATAAGGTAGCATTTGGAACCAGGCAAAGGATGTATAAAAGTAGAAATATAAAATATTCAGCCTCACTGGTAGACAAAAAAGTGCAAATGAAATAGATCATTTTTTGCTTTCAGACTGTCAAGATTGGCAAAACCTATAAGCTGTCTAAGGTATGGAGGAAATAGATAAAGTAAGCAGTTTGGCAGTATTCGAAAACTTTTAATGTATGTCATGTCAGCAGTAGTTAACTTGCTTTGGTAGATTTCATGTGAATTTTACTTTTTTCTCCATATCCAGACTTTAGTGAGCATATATGAATTTTTTATAACTAAAACGCAACCATCGTTTTCATTTTGGCAGTGGAAAGGCAGGTTTAATTAAGTTAAATTATTTGCCTAGTGTGCTTTTGTCTTTGGAGACAAAATTTGCATGCAAAACATAATCCAGCCCATTACAATTTGATAAACTTTCTTGCTTTTTAGAAATGTAAGTATGAAAGTTCTTAATTTCATTTGCAAATCTGAATATTCCTTGTTAAAATTAATAAAATTTAAAAGTTTTTAAAGGTAGCATTTAAATATTTAATAACTTTTGCTATACAACAATTGCTAGCTTTAGAAAATATAAGAAATGGAACAAATACAAGTTATCCTTAATGTTTTCACTTAACAATAACCTTTTTATTTTTTAATAGCCTTCTTAGTCTTTTTTATGCCTATGTAAAATCTTAATTTTTATAGAAATTAAATTATATTGTATATTCTATTTTGCAAGTCTGCATTTTAATATTAATAAACCCTGAGTACATTCATGCTATTAAATAATGTCCTTAGCACTTTATTTTGTGATTAGCAGGGGCTTATTTTTTTCTATCTTCTTTATTAAGGTATAATTGACTAATGAAAATTGTATACAATGTGATGTTTTGATATATATGTATGTATTGTGAAATGACTAATTGAGCTAATTAAATTAACATATACATTAAAGATCATCTCTCAATTTTCAAATATATAATACAATACATAATTTTTTTTTTTTTTGAGATAGGATCTCACTCTGTCACCTGGGCTAGAGTTCAGTAGTGTCATCATAACTCACTGCAACCTCAAATTCCTAGGCTTTAGCAATTCTCAGCCTCCCAGGTAGCTAGGACTACAGGCACATGCTACCCTGCCCGGCTAATTTTTCTATTTTTTGTAGAAACTGGGTCTTTCTATATTGCTCAGACTGGGCTCAATCTCCCAACCTCTAGCAATCCTCCTGTTTTTGGCCTCCCATAAGTGCTGGGGTTACAGGTGTGAACCACAGCACTCAGTCCATTATTCTTAACTATACTTACCATGTGTTATGATAGATCTCCAGAATTGATTCATCCTGTTCTACCCTGTTGTACCCTTTGGCCAACATCTCCTCTCCCCCACTCCCAGTGCCTGGCACCCACCATTCTCCTTTCTGTTTCTATGAGTTCATCATTTTTAAATTCTACATACAAGTGAAATCATACGGTAGTTTTCCTCCTTTGCCTGGCTTATTTCATATCATATAATGTTGTCCAGGTTCATCTGTGTTTTCCCAAGTGACGGGATTTCCTTCTTTATAAAGGCTGAATAATACACACACACCCGTTGCACACACACACAATGGAATAGCATTTTTTATCCATTTATTAGTTGATGGACACTTGGTTTGATATGATGTCCTAGCTATTTTGAGTGAAACTGGAATGAACACGAGAGTGCAGATATCTTTTAAACATACTGATTTCATTTTCTTTAGATATATACCCAAAATCTTCATCATTTTTTAAATTGACACATAATTGTATGTATTTATGGGGTACATAGTTATGTTTTGATACATACATACATATATATGTATATAATGTGTCATTATCAGATCAAGGTAATTAGAATAACTGTTATTTTTAGTGACTGTATAATACTCCAATTTATAGATGGACCATAATTTAACCAGATTCCTCTTGTTTATGTTGAGGTTTTCACAAATTTCATCATTATAGGTAGCACTACAATAAACATTTTTGTACTAATATTGTGCATAAATTTTGATACTTTGGAATAAAGTTCTATAATTAGAGCTGGTTAGTCAGAGAACATCAAAATTCTGAAGCTTTCTGTATGATGAAACTTCTTGATGTGAAGATTCATCACTTAAATGTAAATAATAAAGCATAGTTGCCTAATAATTTACTGGGTTTCCTTTTTATTTGTATTTTTATCTGCTGTTAATATCCAATTAATACCAGCAGAATAGGATTCTGCCCAAACTAACCTAACGAGTTTCTAATATCAATAATGACCTCTAATTTTAGTGTATGAAATGCTATAATTTTGGTCATTTGTATCGTTTTTTAAAATCCATGTACAGTGTCTCATTTATTGGACATCTATATTTTAAATAGAAAATATCATATTTTAAAAGATGTTAATCCATAGTTGTTAAAAAAAACTCTAACATGCTTTCTTTCTTCTCAAACAGCTTTTTAATGAAATGATACAGGAAAATGGCTATAATTTTGATAGATCATCTTCTACATTTAGTGGCATAAAAGAACTTGCTCGACGTTTTGCTTTAACTTTTGGACTCGATCAATTGAAAACAAGAGAAGCCATTGCCATGCTACACAAGTAATATTCAGATACTTTATTTTTAGTCATGAACTTTTTTTTTGGTATCTAGCCCTTTAATTTGAAATAACTAAATTAAATTTATGCTTTATTATTATTTATAAATATATAGATTTATAAATCTGTACCATATTTCCTTTCTTTACTTTATGAACCAGTTGCAGTGCTATCTCAATTTACAAATGAGTTGGGATTAAAATTCCCTTTATAAGAAAGTTTTTTTTTCACTGAAAACTGTATAAAGTCTTTATAAATTATATGAAGCAAAGCAGCATAAATTTATCAGGCATTACAAAATCTTTTTTTTAAATCACCTTTTGTCATAGTCTCACTGCTAGAGAAATCCTTCAGATTTGATTCCTTTGTCTCAAGTTTTCTCTTTCTGGTTCTATTCTCTATTTTGTAGACTTTCCCCTTGTTTTGAGCCACAACCTTCTTTCCATCTGCATGTTTTCTTCCCCGTATCACAATTGGAAATTGTTTGATTTTATATTGGGCATGTAATTCAATGATCAGTTACACTTTTTAAGTATGGGTACATTTAAGAGTTTTAACATAACCAATGTTTGTATATTAAAACCCTTTATCTCTTAATTGTGGGTTAAGGAACCTTGCCTTTAGGAAAATCAAAAGGCTTGAACTCTCCTTCATTGAAAGCTTTCTGTTTTTTGTTTCTCTTACCCCCTTGATTACTTAGTTTATAAAAGTATTAAATGTCTGTTTCCCTGAAGAAAATTTTCTGCTCTTAAGTTTGCCCATACCACCTGTAGCATTAATTCACTCTCTCTGGTAACCTTATTCTAAAACTTCCTAATTATTATTATTTTTTTTTTTTGAGACAGAGTCTTACTCTGTTGCCTGGGCTAGAGTGCCGTGGCATCAGCCTAGCTCACAGCAACCTCAAACTCCTGGGCTCAAGCCGTCCTCCTGCCTCAGCCTCCCGAGTAGCTGGGACTACAGGCATGCGCCACCCTGCCTGGCTATTTTTTTCTATATATTTTTAGTTGGCCAATTAATTTCTTTCTATTTTTAGTGGAGACGGGGTCTCACTCTTGCTCAGGCCGTTCTCGAACTCCTGAACTCAAACGATCCTCCCGCCTTGGCCTCCTAGAGTGCTAAGATTATAGGCGTGAGCCACCATGCTCAGCCTCGAATTCATTTTTATAAATTGGATAGCATTTTTAGGTAATATTTAAGGACCACACATCTAGTAATTATTTTGAGTAGTAAGACATCATTTTCTTCATGTAATAGCCTTCTTTCTTTCCTCCTCAATTCCATTTGAATTGTTTTGTACCCAGTTACATTTTTATAGAGTATAATGTTGAGTTGTTTTCTTGATTAATAAAGGTATTTATTGCCACATAAGTATAGTTAAAATGGGCCCCGAGTGAAGTTTAACTTTAAAACTTTACTCTTAATTGAGTCATTATAAATAGTCATTCCTTTATGTCTTGAAAAGTACAGATAATGTATTTATCATTATGTGAAAAAATTTTGGTATTTTCTGTGGAAAAAAGTACGAGTAAATAATGTGGATATACCAAGCTGAAGGCAAGCTGGTGCGTGTGTGTGATTTTGTTTTAAAGAAATAACAGTGACATAAAATGTAAATGTATTCGCTCATGCTTACACTTACAGCCTCCTTATTCTCTATCCCTCAAATTAAAAGCATCTCAAAGGAAGTAGAGAGTGAAATTTCTTTTCTAAGTTATTAAATGTTTTATTATACTTTCTCAAATATTTATTTCAGTAATTTTTTCTTTGCAGAGATGGCATAGAATTTGCTTTTAAAGAGCCTAATCCACAAGGGGAGAGCCATCCACCTTTAAATTTGGCATTTCTTGATATTCTGAGTGAATTTTCTTCTAAACTACTCCGACAAGACAAAAGAACAGTGTATGTATTTGCTAGAGATGTTCTACTTAATTTCATTTTATAATTCTTTTTTTTTTCTTTTTTTTTAGACTGATTGGGTCTGTAGAAGCATTTTATAATTCTTAAAAGCAATTGTTATACTTGGATTCCTCCCCTTTACATGCAGGGATTAGAATTGTAGGATTGCATTAATGCAGGAAAAACTTTATACTTCAACAACTTTATAAATTAAGGATTATAACTATATGCATAATACTCCATTTTAATATTGTAAATTCTCTTCCCAGTATAGTTGTGTCTTTTGAGGTGTAACTTGAATGTTTTACATCTTCTTCTTCCTTCCCTTTCCCTTTCGTCTCGCTCTGTTGTCCTAGGTAGAGTACAGTGGCGTCATCATAGCTCACTGCAACCTCAAACTCCTGGGCTCAACCTATTCTCCTGCCTCAGCCTCTCAAGTAGCTGGGCCTACAGGGGCACGCCATGACGCCCGGCTAAATTTTTTTTTTTTCTTTAAGTAGAGATGGAATGTCACTCTTGCTTAGCCTGGTCTTGAACTCCTGAGCTCAAGCAATCATCCTGCCTCGGCCTCCCAGAGTATTAGGATTACAGACATGAGCTACTGTGCCCGGCCTTTCTTTTCTTTTCTTTTTTCTTTTTTTATTTAAGATATGGGACCTTGCTATGTTGCCTAGGCTGACCCCAGACCTCCAGGCTCAAGTGATTCTCCTGCTTCAGCCTCCCGAGTCCCTGAGACTACAGGCATGCACCATTTTGTATGCAGCTGCTTTATGTATTCTTATTTGCATTCTTGCCTTAACCCATCTAGGGAGGGATCATTTAAAAGACAATAATATCAGGGATCCATCAGGAGCATCCTAGTTAGTCTGGGTGTTGAGCCATGGATACACTGGAAAGTGGAAGTCCATATATTATCTTTTTACTTTACTATTCCTGTCCTCAATAGATGATTTAAACAGGGCACTTCTCTGGTTTACTTTCCTCGTATGGTGACTTAAGAGAGCCCAGAAAATGGATTTAAATTCTCAAAATCTTTTTTCTACCTTTCCCCTTTGCTTTGAGGTATAAAAAGGCAGAAGAATATGAATACCCCATAGTATAGATAATCTCTTCTGAAAACCCACCAGTATTTTATTTATTTAAAGACTGCATAGATTTTATATGAAAGTCTAAAGCAGACAAAACTATGGTGGTAGAAATCACAGTAGTGGTTACTTGTAGGGTTGGAGAGATTGGGAATACAGGGTACTTTCTGGAGTCACGGGAATGTTCTGTATCTTAATACACATGTGTGTTACACACATGGATTTACTTGTAAAACTGATCCAACTGTACTCAATTTCTGCATATTATGTATAAATTTAATGCAGTTAAAAAGCGCATAGACAGTATTAATCAGAGAAAAAAATAAAAACAATGAAATACCATTTCTCACCGAGCAGATTAGTAAAAATTAAGAAGTCTAATACTATCAAACGTATACAAGGATGTGGACCAGTAAAGCCTGTTATACATTGCTAATGACAGCGTAAATTGGTATAAGACCACTTTGTGGAGCAATTTGACAATGCCTCATGATCCAGTAATTTCACTCACAAGTAGATACACTACAGAAACTCTTGAACACATGCATGAGGAGAATCATAAAATAATGTTGACTTTTTGATTGTCTGAATAAGGAAAATCTCAAAACAGCCTAAACATCTATCAACTAGAAATGGATCAATAGATTGATATATAAAAAAATAGATTGATATATGATGGAATACCACACAGCAGTCCAAATGGTTTTAAAAACATAATGTTGAGTACAAATAACGAAGTACAAAACTATGCTATGGTGCTTATAGACAACTGTCTATTAAAATATAATAAATAATGCATGGGGATGATAAATAGCAAATTCAGGTTAGTGGTAACCTCTTAGACAAGGAGGAGGAGAAATGGGAATAGCTCGAGGGAGGGCTACTTACCTGTGATGTTCTGTTTAGGTATGCGGTGAGTACATAGTTGTAAATCTCTCTGCCAGTGAGTATATTTTGGTTCAAGCTCTCTTATTGTAGACATTTTTTGGAGTTCATGGGCCACGCTTGGAGGAGTACTGTTCTATGTATGACTGAAGTACATTATAATTAGAAAGTCATATGGAACAGCTAACACAAAGCAGTATGTTTTGTAATTGGTGTCTCCTGTTCTCTCTTTTTTTTTTTTTTTGAGACAGAGTCTCGCTTTTGTTGCCCAGGCTAGAGTGAGTGCCATGGCGTCAGCCTAGCTCACAGCAACCTCAAACTCCTGGCTCAAGCAATCCTCCTGCCTCAGCCTCCCAAGTAGCTGGGACTACAGGCATTCGCCACCATGCCCGGCTAATTTTTTGTATATATATTAGTTGGCCAAATTAATCTTTTCTATTTATAGTAGAGACGGGGTCTCGCTCTTGCTCAGGCTGGTTTTGAACTCCTGACCTCGAGCAATCCGCCCGCCTCGGCCTCCCAGAGAGCTAGGATTACAGGCGTGAGCCACCGCGCCCGGCTCCTGTTCTCTTTAATGCTGTTCAGAACTGGTAAATCTGAATTTATTGGAATGCATCGTGATGACAGCAGATATTTGAATTGCACTTTACAGTTAGTTGACAAATAATTGTCTTTATTATTTCAAAGCATAATTTAGCCTTATTGAACTCTAATGTGAGAGCCTAGGACTAGAATCATGGTTATGCTGCTTAGTTTATTATTGTGGGCCCATTAATTCTTAAGTTTTTATCTTTTCTCTCCTTGTCTATAAAATGGGGAGAACAATTCCCTCACTGAATTATAAGAATAGTTAACCTGAGAGAAAAATACCTAGCACATAGTAGACACATGAATGTTAGTTAAATTTTTATTACAGAATTACATACAAGCCTTGTGGGAAATGGTTTAAGGCAGCTTCTCTCAGATCTCCTGACAAGATGTCTGTCATATTAAAAACTCCTTTCTTCCTTGGCAATTCTTGTGTCAGTAATTGGATCTTTTGCTCTTTGTGTGATGAGCAACTAGACCTAGACTGAAACCCCCTAGTGGTTTCAACAACAATTTGGCTAGATCAAGTTGTATCTAGACAACAAAATTGATTTGTCTAAAAATTCCTTGTTCAAAATGTGGGTATTTTACATGGTAAAATTAATTGAGTCAATAGTACAAAGCTCCTATTAAAATATTAAAAAACATTAGATCTAATAGCTTAGATGTTTTACACTAGACTTGGAATCAGAGACACCACAAATATTGAATTTTTCCAATAACTCTCTTGAAATAAAAAAATAACAGTGATAAAAAAGCCTTGTGATACTTGGAACCATGGGTGGATTTATTGTTTCCATCAGGCTGATACTTTCTTGCTGGTAGGGATCATATCTGATTCATCTATTCCTGGTGCCTGGAACATAGTAGGTACTCAACAAACGTTTATCTGAAATGCTCTGAATTATTTCATACAATGTGAGAGTCTTGGTAGAGACAAAATTGCTCATCAGTGTTCTGATGAGTCTGAGATTGAGTAGTGAAATAATATGCCCATGCTCACACAACTAGGGGTTAGTAGAATTGGCAGTTTTCTGTATCAAAGCTAAGAGTTTCTACTTCTTTTAAAGGTATGTTTACTTGGAAAAGTTCATGACCTTTCAGATGTCACTCCGAAGAGAAGATGTGTGGCTTCCTCTGATGTCTTACCGAAATTCTTTGCTAGCTGGTGGTGATGATGATACCATGTCAGTAATTAGTGGAATCAGCAGTCGGGGGTCAACTGTACGGAGTAAAAAATCAAAACCATCTACAGGAAAACGGAAAGTGGTTGAGGGCATGCAGCTTGCACTCCGTAAGGATATAGTTTATTCTCATTGTATTTATCCATAATGTCTATCAACTGAATTGTCGTGAAGGTTCACCTTATTTTTTATTTGAGATATGTGTTGCTCAGTAATAGTGTACATAATGTGTCAGTTATGTGTAAATGTGCTGTTTTAAGCGTTTTACATACGTAAACTCAATTCTCACAGCTCTTGGAGTATATCCTCATTTTTCAGATGAGAAAACTTAGCACAGAGAGGTTAAGTAACTTACCAAATTTCACACAAGTATTAAGTAGATGAGTCAGGCAGTTTCACTCTAAACCACCTGCATTTTTAATCACTATTCTATACTGTATGCATAGGGAAGTGGACTCAGTATTATAGAGTTAGTTATTACCCAAGAGATTAGATCATCTAGTTTAAGTGGAACAACAGATTCAGAGAGGTTGCAACTTCTGAATTTCCACGAAGAGGCCATTAATCATGAAGAACTTGATAGAAATAGAAAGTGCTATCTATCATACCGTGTTTCCCTGAAAATAAGATAGGGTCTTCTATTTATTGTTCCTCAAGAAGACACCCTAGGGCTTATTTTCAGGGGATATGTTATTTTTCCCCTCAAAGTCTCAGCTTGCAGCACGCACAGGATGGCCAGGACCTGACAGGGGGAGCCGACCTTGTTCGTGGGACTGCCCGTACCTTTCCAGTCACCTCTGGGATAGTAGCTGTCGTGATGGGACAGATGAGAAGGGCTGCTCGTCTTCTTTACCACTCCGTGATGAAACACATGGGTTGTGCAGATAAGCTGCATAAATACGCCCATCACTAGATCTTATTTTCAGGGTAGGGCTTATATTACTCAGATGCTTAGAAATCCTGCTAGGGCTTATTTTATGGGTAGGTCTTATTTTCGGGGATACACGGTAGTAGAGGTAGCAGTGCATTATGATGCTTAAAGCTCTTGAGCTCCTAACACTTCAGAGTTGGTTCAAAATGGGACTGGGGACTTTTTTTCTTTCCTTAGGGACCTTTAAACATATTAGCATAGTTGTTAAAATTTGTTCCAGTTTTTCTTTCTTTTTTTTTTTTTTGACAGAGTCTTGCTTTGTTGCCCAGGCTAGAGTGAGTGCCATGGCGTCAGCCTACCTCACAGCAACCTCAAACTCCTGGGCTCAAGCAATCCTACTGCCTCAGCCTCCTGAGTAGCTGGGACTACAGGCATGCGCCACCATGCCTGGCTAATTTTTTCTATATGTATTAGTTGGTCAATTAATTTATTTCTATTTATGGTAGAGTCAGGGTCTCGCTCTTGCTCAGGCCTGACCTCGAGCAATCCGCCCACCTCAGCCTCCCAGAGTGCTAGGATTATAGGCGTGAGCCACCTCGCCCGGCCTAGTTTTTATTTCTGAATAACAAACTACTTATAAACTTAGGACATAGCCAGGACCATGGGTGTCTGATGCCTTATCTAGGAAGACACAAAGGCTGGTTGCAGGAATCATGTGGAAGCATCTTCTCTTACGTATCTGATGGTGGCTGTCAGTTGGGACCTCAGCTATATTCTCCCAGAACACCTGCATCTGACCTCTCCATCTCAGTATATTGCTGAGCTCTAAGAGCAAGTGTTCCAAGAGACAAGAAGTAGATGCTACCAGTTTCTTAGGCCAGGGCCCAGAAATTGGCATAGCATAACTTCTGCCATATTCTATTGGCCAAGCACTCACAGAGATTCTGGGGAAGGGGACATAAACCCCCACTTCTTATGTGAGAGGTGTCAAAGAATTTGGGGGCCATATTTAAGTTGCCACATAACCTATCAGCTATTTTTTATCACCAGGTGTATAGTGTTTAATACTTGACTGTCCCATGGATTAATGGTTTTAGTATTTTTGTCCAGTACTATAAAGGCATAACCTTATACTTCTAACTTGTACAATTTTAGACTTGATTGTTATATGGTCCCAACATCATGGTTGGTGAGGAAATCTCTTTTACAGTATCCCTGGCCAGTTAAAATAGTTAGGACTGATGGTTTATAAGAAGTTAAAATAAAATTTTCTTTTTAAACATAGAAAACATTATCAAATTGCATATCACTGTAAATTTTAAAAGGTTTTTCTTATCTGAATCAGTACTTAATAGTTAGAGATTTGTGCTGCGCCATCAAATCTTTTTTCTTAGACCTCATGGGACACACACGAATTGGTATTTATATAACATCTTACAAATATTAATAGATTATCAAACCAGGTACTTCACTTTTTAAAGAAAGAGTCCATGCTCTCTTTTTTCAGGTTTTTTGAAAGCCATAGAAATTGAGGCATTAATAAATTAGAAGAAGGAAGGATAAATACTGATAGGTTGGCCAGGTCAGTGCAATTTTGAACACAGTATTGGAGCCTGAATATAGTGGACCATAAAGGTTAATGTAATTATATTGCAAAATATGGAATTTATGTCAAATCCATCTATTACTAGGGTATTAGCTATTGCCACATTTCTTTCCACTCTTGCCTTAAAAACTTATGTATTATGTACACATATATAATCTTCTGATAAAATAGTTTTCTTCCAAACTCAAAGTCAATCACCAAGTGCTATCAGCGTTACCTCCCAACTCAGTGATTTTTAAAATTACTGTTAATTCACTAACACTTGTATGCAAGTTTGACTTTTATTAATCATGGTAAGATCTATAGACATTTGGGGGAAAAGTAGCTTTTGCAGGTGAAACCTGTGTGGTTTTTTTTTTTTTTTATTCCAGTGCTTAATGTACACATGGATTTATGCCCCCACCCCCCGCAATTGCTTATTATGACCTGCTAAGCAGTCTGCATCCTATAGATTGGGAACCAATCTCCTATTGGTTTCCATCCCTTTTATCATGTCTTGCTCACTTGAGCAATACAGTTAGCCTCTTAACTGGCCTATTTGCTTACCAGTCTTCCTGTTATCAAGTCCGCCCTCCACACTGCCACCGCCCTGACTAAAACATGTAATTCACCAAATTGTTTCCTTTCCTTAAAACTTTCAGCGGCAGTTCCTTGTCATCTTAGCTGGCACAGCTTACAAGACTTTGCACAAATTGATTCCCCCTTCTTTATCCAGCCATTGTCTTTTGCCACTCTTTCAATCTTTATACCCCCAAAGTAGCAAACTATTAGTTTGAATCATATGAAATTGCCCTTTTTGTAGGTCAGATATCAGCAGATTAATAGGGTTCAGTCATTGTTATTTCATGCCTCAGTGCTCTTGCTTATGTTTTTCTCCCTGCTTAGAAAAGCCTTCACAGCCCACTCAATACTAACTCTACTTAGAAGTTGCTTCCTAGTAGCTGGCTCTGACGCTTCTCACAGCTGCTCCTATTCCCCGTGTTTCCCTCTCTCCTAGCACTTACCATACTGTATTATAATTGCCTAGTGGTTCTTTGTCCACAGCTAGATTATAAACAGCAGGCGGCGACTGCGCCTTCTGTATCTTCATGTGCCTGTTTTCCTAGCACTAGCATGTTGAAAGCAATAGATGGTTGTATTAGACATCTGATTAGTCACAATTAGTAAGTGGACTTAATTCCTATTAACTTTCTTTTTCAGCTGAAGAAAGCAGTAGTAGTGACAGTATGTGGTTAAGCAGAGAACAAACACTGCACACCCCTGTTATGATGCAGACACCACAACTCACCTCCACTATTATGAGAGAGCCCAAAAGATTACGGCCTGAGGATAGCTTCATGAGTGTCTATCCAATGCAGACTGAACATCATCAACCTCCTCTTGATTATAAGTAAGTACACTTGATCATTTTCTGTACTATAACTTTATTAATTACATAGAAAAAAGTTAAGTTAAAAGAAGAATAAAATTCTCCTTGAAGCACGCAGGTAACATGGATGTTAGCTCAAAGACAACAAGAGGAAGCAAGGCAACAGCAGGAGAGAGCAGCAATGAGCTATGTTAAACTGCGAACTAATCTTCAGCATGCCATGTAAGTGAGAGTGCCTTATTGTCTGAGTCTAGGAAGTTCACTAATTCATTTTAACATATTTTAATGTGTGCCTTATCTAAAAATTTCAGCAAACTCTCTAGAGTAACTTAAGCTGAAATAATCAAGGAATTAAAAATTGGTCTTTCCAACAGGAAACAAAAAAAACATTTTAAGTTAATATTAACTAGTTAGCCAAAGGACCAATCTTAGGTTGATCTGTTGGAAAAGTTTAAATATGAATCCTTGTTTATTTTGGTACACAGAATTAAAACTATAGTTCTGTTACAACTTAATTGATTTTCCTACCTTAGTTCAGGCCCTCATCTTTTACCTGAACTATTGTATTAGCTTTCTAACTGGTTTTCTTCCCTCAAATCTCCCATTTATCCTCTCACCAAACCCCTCCCTTTACACTCCCCCACCGCTCCATCATTCACACTGCCATCAGGAATTATTATTCTAGAATAGAAATCTTACCATGTAACTCTTAACTTAAAACCTTTCCATGGCTCCCCATTTCCTGCTGGATAAAGTCCAAACCCCTTAGCTCATGGCATGCAAAGATCTTTCAAAATATGGCCCCTGCCTACATTTTAGTATCATTTCCCATTCCCTGGCAACTGGTAAAGTCATCGTAAAAGAACAAGCTCAAGTGTCACCTTAAGTGAAGCTTCGGTCATCTATGCTCCCATAACACTATGTATATTCATATTTCTTATAGCATTTACCATGTTGTATTGTAATTATTTGTTTATGAGTTTGTCCCTTTGTCTAGACTGTGAGCTCCTCAAGGGCAGGGACCACATTCATTGCCTGTCAGTGCTTGGCACATAAAAGGTGCTAGGTGAATGTTCATTGAATGAATAAATGTTCAATGCTAAAAAAAATTGTTTACCTTTTAAGTACTTCGTTTTTACCAGATTCTGTATGAGAACTTAATAAATCTTTCTGAAATCTTCATTAGCTTTGGCTCTAAAAGAAATGGCAGACAAGCAGTCTTTAGATAATGTTTTTCATGTCTTGATTGGTATTCAGGTTAAAGTGTGATGAATCTGATTAAGTTTTTTAGTTTGAAAGCATTGTACTTGGAACATAATGTGGTATATATTTAAAACTGGGAGGTAGTAAATGTTACCCTCTTTTTTTAATTTATATTTTGTTCTGTTTTGTTGATTTTTAAATAAGGATTTCACTTTTCTTAAGAAATTATCACTTACCACATTGATGGTAGCCTACATAAATTCACTTTAGTTATTTCCATAGTGCTCTTAAGAACCTCTAGAGACAAAAAGTATACCCTATTACATGTATAGATACTGATTCTAACTTGGTTAATATGGTCATCATTTATATTATCACTTGGTTCTATCCCCTTTTCTCTGTTTCTGTGGCCACACTCCCCTAATGTATGTTCTTATTTAATGCTGGATTCTACAACTAATTTCTTAGCTTTCAACCAGTCACTAGTCCAGATATTCCAGAATTCTGCCATGTAGTCGTTTGATCTATATATCTTCCCTGAAAACTTTGTACTAGTTCCCAAGATCCTATATAGAATCTCATCACTCAGTAGCATTTATCATATCATTATTCTTTTGTTTGCAATTTGTTTCAATTCCCAATTATAGATAATCTCCCCCAGGCAACTACAAGGGATTATCTCAGTTAAATAACTATTACCACAGGATTATTTTTTGGTGGTGGTTGTGACCATAAGTGGTCTCTTGCCTGGGACCTTAAAATATTTTTGTCTTACAATGATTTTTCTGTAATGGTATCTGCCTTATAACTGAAAATACTTCCAGATTATCTTATTTTTTCAAGTTTATATCACATATCTTCCTTATACTCCAAACAAAATGCAGAATAGATTTCTGGTTTTCTGTAACATGATCCGCAAAGTTGCCTCCGTTAAATATAGTAAGGTTATCTTTATTATCTAGAACTGTTAGGAAATAAGGACTATTATCAACATATTTGTCCAGGGAGACAAGTTATCAGACTTGTTATCTTTATATCTTTTAAGACCCAGCACAGGCCAGGCACAGTGGCTCATGCCTGTAATCCTAGCACTTTGGGAGACTGAGACAGGAGGATAATTTGAGCCCAGGAGTTTGAGACCAGCCTGGGCAACATAGTGAGACTCTGTCTTTACAAGGAAAAGAGTTTTAAAAGACATAGCACAATATTGTGTAAATTTTAAGCATTCAGTAAATAATCGATGGGGTTTTGATGGTCTCTGTTTAGAGGGAGGTGTCTTTGGATAAGAAAAGCAAGTTAATATTGGCCAAACTGGAGAGCAAATCATACCTAATTTCACTATTATGTTGGCTACTTTATGCTGATCTGGGCTAATTTGTGAACCTATTCTCCATAATTATGTGATAACATATAAAGCTTTTGGTCTTAATTTTCTATTTTACATTTCTATATATGTCTTAGTTTTGAGTTTCATAGGGCACAACAATTCAAGTTTCAGCATAAGCATTGCTCATTTCTTCCTTAATCCCTTCTTTCATATTCTTATAGCACTTGATGCATAGTTCTGTTGTAATATTTATCACATTTTGTCATAATTAATTGTTTATCTCTGTTTCCCATAGTAGACTGTGAGCTCCTTGAGGGCAGGAACCATGTCTTTTTCATCATTTTTTTTTTTTACAACCATAGCACACAGTAAAAGCCTGTCACATAGTAGGCACTGTGTGAATGAGTGAGTGCATGCCTGATACATATTAGGTACTGAATGAATGAGTGATGGGTAAAATTAGCATTATGTATTGATGAAATTATATGTATTCTGAAAATGTCATTTCTTTGGTCTCTGTTTTATGTTTGTTTATTAATTTGTATCCTGCCTACTTTCAAAAAGGATTTGAGGTATCTTATATGTTCCCATGTGGGAAATTCTCATTGAACCTTCTTTATGGGATATCAGACCTATAAAGCTAAATGTATTGAAGCAGTATAGAATAAACATAACTGCTTAGCATTTTTAGACAAGTGAACGTTGGGGGTTTGACATCATTGATGACATGATCGATGCCTAATCATTCTCCCTGACCTTTAATTCCATCATTTTCCATTATACTTGAATATAGAGAGCCACATACTGCTGCCTGTATTTTAATAGTCACAGTATTGGTTCAGATCTTGACTTTGTTTTATATTTCTCCAGTCGGCGTGGCACTAGCCTAATGGAAGATGATGAAGAGCCAATTGTTGAAGATGTTATGATGTCCTCAGAAGGGAGGATTGAGGATCTTAATGAGGGAATGGATTTCGACACCATGGATATAGACTTGGTAAGAAACTTAAGGATTTTTGTAAGATTTTCAATTTAGACCCCTTGGAAATTAAGTTGGGTATTTATTAAAGAAACATCACGAAAAATAAGTTTTGGAGAAATATTAAATAAAGTAGTTGCCAGAGGTTTAGGTATATGAGAAGGGATTGAGGAGAAGGGTGAGTTTGGTGAGGATGTTAGATCCTAGCTTAAGATGATAAAAATTAGCTGTTTCTTTTGAAATTAGTTTAGGAATATATAGATTTAATGGATATATTTTGCTTAACATTAATTTGACTATGAATATCAAAGGATACTTAATGGTTATGTATTAAGTTTTTCCAAAATGTTTTATGAGTTAGCATAATAAGTATCATATCACCTTGTAATTTTCCATTTATTTACCATTATCAGAACAACACATTAACTTGATACTACCTTATTACTAACATATTTCATTATCAGATAATGAAGTAAAATTACTTAAACTTTGGAGGAAGTTAAATATATATGATTATATTTGTTAATATGATTAGGGCTTACAGTATATAAAATGCTTCTACATATCTCATTCAACTTTGTGAGGTAGGTTGAGAGGATTGAATATATTGAAGCTTGGATAGGTAACCTATCCAAGGAGACAAAACTAGTAAGCAGTGAAGCTGAGACTTATAAGCCTGGGCTTTTTTTTTTTTTTTTCTTTGAGATAGAGTCTCACTCTGTTGCCTGGGCTAGAGTTCCGTGGCATCAGCCTAGCTCACAGCAACCTCCAAACTCCTGGGCTCAAGCAATCCTCCTGCCTCAGCCAGTTGGCCAATTAATTTCTTTCTATTTTTAGTAGAGACGGGGTCTCACTCTTGACCTTTAGAGATCCTCCCGCCTTGGCCTCCCAGAGTGCTAGGATTACAGGCGTGAGCCACTGCGCCTGGCCAAGCCCAGGCTCCTGATTCTACTTTTTGGCATACTATGGTATATTCTCAAAGAAATAATTAAATCTTTAGAATAGTGTGATTTGACACCTTGAAGGGAAAATGATTTGAGAGAAGGATTTTTAAAGTAAATTAAAATGAAATGAGTTTTCCAGTTTTTGTTTTTCAGAATAATTTTCCACAAATGAATTGTTTTTGTACTTTTAAACATTCTGTAGTTGAGTGTACAGTGTTTAAAGTATTGTAAGTACACTTACAGTCACATAGGCCATATGAACATTTAACTTGTATATTTTCAGTTACTGTCTGGTTTATAGGTATAACAAATGTCAACTGACTTCCTTTTTTCCCTTAGCCACCATCAAAGAACAGAAGAGAGAGAACAGAACTGAAGCCTGATTTCTTTGATCCAGCTTCAATTATGGACGAATCAGTAGGTTTAATTTAAAATGTACCCCACGATTGCAAAATCAAAAGTAAAGGCTCTCCCTGAGTTTGAGGTTGTAAAGTTAGGGCAGCATACTGAGAATGGATGAAAACAGTTGGCTGTGAGAAAAAAAGGCAGGCGGGTAGAATTTCAGTGGGAGGGAAGTGGAGGGGGATGGTGGTGATGCAGTAGTGGTGACAGATTAGAAAAGTACTTTCGAATCCCTGGCCAACTAGGACTTAAATGTTATGTTAAGGAATTTGGACTGTCCCTGTAAGTTTGGGTTGCCAGCTGAAGGATTTTAAATGACGGAATGGCATGATCAGAATTGTGTTTCAGAAGATTTCCTTGGCATTTATGAATGGATAGGATGAGGGGAACAATTGTAATATAAAGGCATGGTGAAAAATAATGAGAACTTGAACAAAGGCTTTGATAATGAAGAGAAGGGTATTGAGATGTTTAGGATGAAGAGTTAGTTATCCTCTTCTAACCTTTAATTGGTTATTATTGGGCTTTGTCAGTTACTTTTCTTAAGTACCTCTCATATCAGTCCCCTGTGTCATTTTTTTTCCCTGACAATGACTTGGTTTAAGTCCTTGGTTTTCATTTGGACTATTGCACATCCTCTAAGTTGATCTTGCTGCCCCACCCCCACTTTATATTTCTTCTGGGGTCATCTTTCTAAAATGCAAATCTAATCTTCTCAGAGTTCTAAGTCTCTTATTGATTTTTTTTTCCCCATTGCCATTAGGAAAAAAATTGTAGCTCCTCAGCCTGACATACAAAGCCTTTGGTGATTTGATTCCTTTTCCACCTTAACCTTAACCTTTTCCTTGCATGTATACTTATTAGCCATACCAAATCTTATAGTTCCTCTCAAATGTACTATGCTCTTTAATTACTCCATGACTTTTTTGTAAGCTTTTCTCTCTGCTGGAAGTACCCCCTTCCTTTTCCTCCTGGTGAATTCTTCTTTTAATACTCAGTTCTGACATTACCTTTGCAATTTTTACTGACCTTTCCAGATAGATATTTTATTCTCTGCTTCCTTAATAGTTTGTATATACTTTCATTGTGACAATTACAGACTGATGTTGTGAGATAGGATGTTATATATGCTGATCCCTCACTGGACTTAACTCTTTGAGGCAGTGATGATTTTATTCATTTTGAGTTCTGCCTAGCATAGTAGGTGTTTAGTTTTTTCTAATAAATAAATAATTTAAGTAACCTTCCATGTCCCTTTTTATTATCTACCCATTTATGCTAATTCCTTCTAACACCTAACTCAGGTGACTTCATACCATCCGCTAAGGCCTGCTTTCTATGCCCCAGTTTCTACCATTCCCTTCTTGCCCTCCCCCACCTCATAATCTGCTTTCAGATAGCTCTTGGAACTATTTTGACAAAAATTCACACTAACATATTATATTAATAAGGTCATTTGTTGTACCCCAAAAGATAGAGTTTCGTACAGCAGCAGTGGGTATTGAAATGTCTTTGGACAGACCACCTTAGAATCTTTCAAATCATTATTTGTTTTATTTTAATTTTTTTTTGTGTTTTTTCCTTTGTTTTTCTAAATCAGTATTTTTAAAAATCTCTAATGTGCATTTGAATCATCTGGAGACTTTATTAAAACGTAGATTCTGTTTCAATTGGTCTGGAATGTGGCCTGATATTCTGCGTCTCTAACAAATACTGTTGATGCTTCAGGTCTGAAGACCAATGAGTAGCAAGGCTTTATGATAAAGTACATAGGTGACCTATTCTACCCATATGTCTATATAGTTTAAGTGCATATTAAAGTATGTGGTTTACTGATAATTAATCTAGAAATATGTATCTTCTAATTGTTAAATAAAACATGAAGATAGAGATTATTATGATGAGGGATAATAGAGAATATTTTCAAGCAGGTATGATGAAATGCATTCATTCAATTTATTAACCTGTAAGTTGTTACTAAAATGAATAAGACACTTTCTCTGTCCTTAAGGAATTCATATTCTAGTGGAACTTGACTACCACTTTGAAATGAAGAGTATGGAAGCTAGTATTTGAGAGCTTATATGCTGGACACTATGCTAGGCATGATTTATTTTGACCCTCTTCAGCAACTTTGTGAGAAAGGTGGTAGAATTCCCGCTTTTATACCCAAGCAAACTGAGACCAAAGAGGTGGTTTAGTGATTTACCGAGAGCTATACAACTAGTAAGTGTCAGAGTTGTAATTTGTTCCCAGTTTCTTTTTATTTAATAATCTTGTGCTTTCTCTACTGTTGTACTTCCCGAAACTAAAATCAGGCCTCATTTGGGTGAAATACCAAGACAAATAATTAGTAAATTGAAATGATGAACTATAATCAAAATTGATATGGGCATTTAGAGATTTGCATATTTTTATCATATATTTGTCTGACGTCAGGAGAACTTTAAGCATTTGTTTCATTAGTCATGTATTAGATTTGCAAAAAAGGTGTTCTCCACCTCAGATAACTAAAACAATGAAACAGCAATGTAAAGTTTGTGTATCTATGTTTGATATTTAACATTTAGAGAAAGCTACAATCTCAGTGAAGCCAAATATAGGGCCCTTAATAATTGTTTGTTCTTTATAACAACTTTATGGCACTCTCATGTATATTAACTATGTTCCAACTGAGAGGCCTTTATTTATTCTTAATTTGATAACAGGTTAGCTGCTTCTGCTGCTAAAATTAGGAAAATAAGCATACATACTTATAACTGTAGTTTTATAGTATTACCACATGATGGCAGCAGCCACATAACTGAATGGTCAATAATCTTTAATGGCTGAGGTATCTTTAAGAAGTCTTTGACAATGTATTTCTTGAAGTTAATAAGGGTTGGTTTTTTAAAAATATACATTAGAATTTACCCCATATTATCTCAGTCATAAGAATGTAATAATGGAAACATTTGAATATAAAATTCCGTTTGCCTTTATATAATAACCTACATCTGTTTTTACTCAAGCCTATGATAAGTGAGTTATCAAAACAATAGTAAAATTAGGATTCAAATTCTGTAATGTCCGATTCTAAGATTCTCCAATTCTAGGTGAAATAACTCAAAGCACCTTAGTATAGATACTTCAGGTTATTACTAAATAAATGCTAAATATATATTTTATTTTAATTTTTTTGAGACAGAGTCTTGCTTTGTTGCCCAGGCTAGAGTGAGTGCCATGGCGTCAGCCTAGCTCACAGAACCTCAAACTCCTGGGCTCGAGCAATCCTGCTGCCTCAGCCTCCCGAGTAGCTGGAACTACAGGCATGCGCCACCATACCCAGCTAATTTTTTCTATATATATTAGTTGGCCAGTTAATTTCTTTCTATTTATAGTAGAAATGGGGTCTCTCTCTTGCTCAGGCTGGTTTTGAACTCCTGACCTCAAGCAATCTGCCCGCCTTGGCCTAAATATATCTTTTAAAATAAGATTTTCACATCACCCAGGAGTGGTAATATAAAAATTCTTAGCATATCATTTTTGAGATGCATATACATAATATTCTAGATTTATGGAGGAGTTGGTTTTATATCTGTAAATAAAATTGGTTTATCCCATTGTGATAATGGTCATTTTTGCTAGTTTTACCACAACACACCAAAGCTTGATATTTATACTTTTAAATATATGTTTAAGTGTTTATTAATGTTAACATTAGAAACAGGTAGTTTGTATTAGCATAGAAAAGAGAATGTCACTAATGTTCTCTTGTGTTGAAATTCTCTTATTAGTATTATCTGTAATATAAAATTGGTATAAGAAGAGCTCAGTATAATGAACCTAATATATAATGTTTTAGTAGAAGAATCTAGTTGTACACTAGTCTTTATAAAATGTCCCCCCCCCAAAGAAAAACCCCACAAAATTTCACTTGTTCATGTGCTTTCCAGTCAGGCACTCTGGAAAGAAAGTTGAGTTCATCTTTATGCCACACTCTACACCAAGAATTGCTAATTAAGATTTTATCCTTTCATTCAATATCAGACCTTTCCTTACCCAGATTCATAGTGTTATGGCTAGAAGGGATACTATATTTTGTTTTATTTGTTTGTTTGTTTATTTACTTAGAGGCTGCAATCAGATATTTGTTTCTTAGTCTGAAAATAAGCAATTCCTTCAGATCAAAATAATTTAAATTCTATTGCTTTTCAAGTGAGATTTAACTTATAAATAAGAGCCCTTTGCGATCTCAATCTCAGCTCACATCTGGCTTTGATATCAGCTTTTATTAGTTTATTACAGTATTCTAAAATATTAATTGACATAATGAGTAAAATAAAATTCTCTAAGAATTTTAATTGAACAACCTAACTTTTAGTATATACACTAAAGTTATGTATTCATTTTTGCTTAATGAACAAGAGAGGCTTGTTCCATTCATCATCTGCTTTTATTTTTAGTGACAAGTAATTATTAGATTTTACCTAACATTCTTTTCCCAATTAGAATCTATAGAAAAGCATCAATATAAGTCACTTTGCCCAGACTTAACCTTGCTTGTTTAATTTCTTAAAACTTGTAGTTCTGCTCATTCACTCAGGCCAGATTTTCTGAAGAAAGCTTTCTGCTTTCTATATACTTGCATTGTTCTTGGATTTTTTTTTTTTTGGGTCTGCATGTTCAAATACCTTTTTAAAAACTATACCCATTTCAGAGTACAAATGGCCAAGTTTGCAAGACTTTCTTAAACTCTTTCCAGTGAACCTGTGCCAAAAGCATATATAAGGAAGCGCATTCATTTGTTCATTCAGCAAATGCCTATGTTCAGGGCATTGCCTATGGATTAGGAGTGTATATAAACATAATCAAGCCAAAGTCACTACTCTTAGTTATATTTGTGAGGTAAGTAGCATCTTGATTAGTTCTGATTTTTTTTAAAATCTATTTATGGAGACAGGGTCTAGCTCTTGCTCAGGCTGGTCTTGAAACCCTGAGCTCAAGCAATCCTCCTGCCTCAGCTTCCCAGAGTGCTAGGATTACAGGAGTGAGCCATCACTCCCAGCCTTTAGTCCTGATCTTATTTCATTTTATTTACTGATGGTCAATTTAATTTTACAATTACATATCTGAAGAGAGGGTAAGTTTTCAAAGTGGTTTTATTAGCATGTCATTTAACTTAATAAAGTATTAATGTGGTATTATAGATACATTACAAAGAAATGAATGACTATTTTAATGACATTTTCCCCCTTTCTCTCTCTCTCTCATTAGGTTCTTGGAGTGTCAATGTTTTAATACCAGTACACAAATCTGTGGTGGAGTCATTTTCTAAGTGGAAGAGGAAATTTTAAAATAAAGTGTGGTAGATACAGTGAAATTCTGTACAGATTTTTCTCTAAGGAGAATATGACATGCTTATGCTTACCAAGATCAAGTGCATTGAGGGGCAGTTTTGTTTGCCTGAAAAAAGTAAAGGACAAGTAAACAATTTGATGATAAGCTACAGTTTTTCTTAGAAAGTAAATATTTTATTTATGCGCTGTTAGTTGGCTTTTGAATCAGTTATTTCATGCTTTTTTTAAAAAAAAATATAACAATCTTAAGAGGCATTTGGTACAGATATGAATTCTCTCACATTTATTTACTGGTTGTACTAAATAATGATGGCCTCTGCTGGATTTCTGTTTACATCTAAGAAACGTCAAGGATGAATTTATCTCCCCACCCTGAAATTGTAGGATAGAATTGTTTTTAGCATTCTAAACTTAAATGCTTAAAACATCAATCAACAAAACTTTGTTTTAAATATTGTAATTGTGGAGAAAAGTAAACTTATAAGCAGAACTTTTACAATTTTTTCATCTAAAAGTATTTTAAGATATTTTTAAAATCCAAGAGCTTCTCTATACTTTTCAGAAATATCCAGATGCAGTGAACTGCCAGAAGGTAACCCGTCTCAAACATGCTTATCCCATTATCAACCCTGAAAGTTTGCTTGTCCTTTAAGGTAAAAATGTAATGTTGTGATATTCCTTCCAGTAGTGCCACTGTATTTTGTCTCCAAATAAAAGAAGCTTATTGTAGTATGTTTGCAGAAAAATTCTAAACAAAAATTATACAGCTTATTAGAGTGTGGGAATAGGGATCTAAATTTTAAATAAAATTATATATATATATAAATTGGTGCTGATTTTATAATTGCGCAGTTTGTTTAGTTTTTTCTTACTTTTAAATTCCAACTTAAAATTATGAGGTTTCAGAACTATATTGAAAGTTTAACAATGTTTAAAAATAGAAAAGCATGAGTATTCATGCTTTAAAATGATTTTTAAATTTGTATTTTATATTGTTTTATCTATCTGTCTTTGCAAGCAGTCTTCAGGTTAAAGATACTTCTAACAGGTTACAGTACATTTCCTCTGTATGTAAATTAGATGGGATAATAGAATTCATAACCCATAATATTCTTTGAAAGCTAAGCTTTAAACTTCATTTTATGTCCTTTCACAAATAAATTAGTTTAAAACAGAAAGTGGCTACTTGCCATTTTGACATCAACTCATTTTGCGAGGCTTAGGCAGCTAGACATCGTTTAAAACAAAATATTAACTTATATTACATGTGTATCTATCTTTTGTCAGTCGTCTCTCAGTTCTTGAGGTATATTATTTTAATCATTCCATGCCTTAATATGCTTGCAATACAAGAATATCTTCAGATGGGTGAATACCAAAAGGCTTTCAGTTTTTAGATTCAGAATCAACAAGCATTGGGCTGTGGTAGCCAAAAACCATAGGTTAGCTAAAAGATCATGATAAAAAAAACAATTATTTTATTAAATCATGGTTAATAACAAATGAAACCAGACTTGTCTAACAGATTTTCCATCAACAAATATTGTTATGTGCAAAAAGTATTGCCTATGTTGTTTTACACACCACTGCATTTACTAGAACTGCTGAGAGGACTGTATATATGATTTTAAACCTAAGTTGATTTTTTTCTCACTCTTGAAAGGAGTACTTCTTTGTGAAAGCAGTTCTTACAGCTTTGTTTTCAACCAGCTAAAAATGTTTTATATATTACTCTAACCTGTTGTCCTCCACATTCTATTGTCCTAATTGTACTGTTTTCTGATTTGTATTTATGTCTTGAGACAGTAACTTTTTGAATAAAAATAAACCTACAATATGTTGTATGTTTTTATCTCTTATAATCATGGGGAAGGGTGGCTATAAATGGTTTGAGAATCATATCTATTATCACATCTTTTAATGTGTTTAAGAATAATTTATAGAAAACACCACCATATGATATTTTTAATAAATTATATGTATTTTCAAATGAGACTAAATCCCTAATTAGGCTATTACTTTAAAATAAGAACCTGTAACAGTTACTAATCTGGTATGGGATAAACACACTTTCAAATGTCTACATTGTTCATGCAGGATACATTTGAGCCTACTATGTGTAGGCATGTATTAGAGGTCCCTCCCTCATAGATCCAGTATGGAAAACAAATAAAATAAACTTAAAATAAGTGGCTGGAAGGAAACTAACAGGGTGTGCCAAGTTAGTGAATGAGAGAGACAGAAACCTATCTTAGATAAGGGGCTCTTGGCATGAAGGGTAAAAGCCAAGATGTGAAATAGAATTTAATAATTGAATTCATACTGAAAGGCCAGATGCAGTGGCTCACACCTATAATCCTAGCACTCTGGGAGGCCGAGGCAGGAGGATCGGAGTATGGCTCGAGGTCAGAAGTTCAAGACCAGGCTGAGCAAGAGTGAGACCCCTGTCTCTACTAAAAATAGAAATTAGCTGGACAACCAAAAAAATATATAGAAAAAATTAGCCGGGCATGGTGGCGCATGCCTGTAGTCCCAGCTACTCGGGAGGCTGAGACAGAAGGATTGCTTAAGCCCAGGAATTTGAGGTTGCTGTGAGCCAGGCTGACACCATGGCACTCTAGCCTGGGCAATAGAGCAAGACTCTGTCTCCAAAAAAAAAAAAACAAAACTGAAAACTCTTTCTGCAATGTGTTGTCAAGATTTACACTGTACTCTTTAAAAGAAATTCATATCAGTGTAACACTAGCACATTGTTCATTTGAGCTAGTTTGTAGGTATTAGAAGAGTTGTCTTCTATCACTGTTTTTCACAACTGAACATTTGAAATGACAGCTAATAGTTGGGCACTAGTTTAAGTAATTTACATGTTATAACTCATTAAGACTTATAAGAGGTGATATATGTTTTCTACCCCACCTCACCCCCGCCTTTTTTTTTTTTTTTAGCAAATCAGGAGGTGAGGAAAATGAAGCATGGAAAAATACCTTAGACAAGGCTATATAGCTAGTAAATGATAGAGTTGGTATTCAAGCCTAGGCAATCTGGCTGCATTAAATCCCAGGAAGTATTGAAAGTATTTGATACATAAGGATAGAGTACCTAATTGCACAAAGATAAAATGGTACATTATTTGTTGTCCTATGTGTATCTTTAAGGAGTCCAGCTGGCTATGGAATTGAGTGATGTGAATAAACATTGTCCTAAATATGCTACCCAGCTGGCTTCTATGAAGAAAGTATAAATTGAATCTGAACTCTGAGCCCATCAATAGTTACTTGCTAATAGCTTTAAAAGTTGAGAGACTGGGAAAGAAGATTAAGATAACCTAGAAGAGATGTCTTTAATATTCTTCCACAAAGGGAACTTGTAAGGATTCACACGGGTGAGCACCAGATCAGATAGACTATTCTGGTAGCTGTAATGATTCAGCAAAAGGAGAGCGATTAAGCAGCACAAGCCCTTTGGTTATGAGGAAATTGGGGGAAGCTCGCCAAGTATCACTTAAAGTCAGAAAATCTCATTGACTGTCTACTGTGTGCCTGGCCTTGTGCTACCTGCTGAGAAGGCAAAGACAAACAAGACAGACTTTGTTTTGAAATTACTTTCATTTCTGCTGGGTGTTGGGATGCAGAATCAAAACTAACAAAAGGAAGTAAGTTAAATGTTTTAATGGGAGCACAGAGGAGAGGCACAAACAGTGGATGTGCCTGGGGAGCCTTATAAGACTGACATTTGAGTTGAATTTTTTTCCCAACATTTTATTATGAAAATTTTCACACATAACAACTAAGTTGAAAGAATTTTATAGTAAACACACTTAACTTGGCTTTACCACATATCCGTCTATCCATCTGTCTTGTTTATGTATTTCAAAGTAAATTGCAGACATGGGCATTATATTCTAAATACTTCATGCATATCATTAAGTTTAATATTTGTTTACTATTTTTCTTTTGGTGTAAAATTTATATACTGTGAATATACAAACTATGAGTATATATTGCTGTTTTGACAAATGCTTATAGCTGTTTAACCCAAATTCCTTTAGAAGATAGTGAACATTACCATCAACCCAGAAAGTTCCTTTATGCTCCTTAATCAATCTGTGTTTCCATGCTTTCTAAAGGCAACAGCTGTTACATTTCTAGCTTAGGCAGCTAGACATTGTTTAAAACAAAATACTAACTTATATTACATGTGTATCTTTCGTCAGTCATCTCTCAGTTCTTGAGGTATATTAAATTTGGCTGTTCTAGAACTTTATATAAATGGAATCATACAGTATTCTTTTAGTGTGAGGTTTATTTCAGCAAAGTGTTTTTGAGATTTATCCAAGTTGTGTGTATCAACAGTTTATCTTTATTCCTGAGTAGTATTCTGTTGTAAAGATATACTACAATTTGTTATCCATTTAGTGGCTGATGGACATTTAGGTTGTTTCTATTTTTATGGCCATTATGAAGAAAGCTGCTACTTGAGTTGCATTTTAAAAACTGAGAGATGGGCTAGGTGAAAGGAGAGGCAAGGTGGCCAAAGGTGACAATTTAAGGCAAAGGAGAGAACATAAACAACTATCTTGAATGTAAGCACTATTTAGTAATTGCTTATGGGCGGGTAAGACTGGAAGGGGTAGTTGGTTATCCAATACCTTACATCAGCTTTAAAAATGAAAAGAACATTCACAACTGGTACCTTTGGTAACAAATGTTTTTGTTTTGTATGTGATGTTCTCAGAATTGGCAAAGATCCAGAGTAGTAGCAGGGTACCTTTAAATGAGTTTTAATAAACTGATTTGTTTAAATATGGGTATTTTAGTCACATGAGGTCTTATTCTACCATTGCAGAAAATAATACACTTTAACAGTTTATCATTTGTGTAGTTATATCAATAAACTGTAAATTCTTGAAAATAGATTCTTCAACTGAAGTAAGTTTGAGGCTGATGAAAGGCTACCTACTTACTATAAGTTTATTTTGCTTTTTAAATGAAATTTTTTAGTTGACAAAATTGTGTGTTTGTCATATATGTTTCTAAATATGTATACATACAACAGGAAGGAATGTGCTAAAAAAAGAAAAAGAAAATATACATTGTGGAATGGCCAAATTTAGCTAATTAGCAGGTATTACCTCATTTTTTATGGTGAGAACATTTAAAATCTCTTAGTAGATTGATTATATATAATATTACCTATAATCACCATGTTGTGCAATAGATCTCTTGACCTTATGTCTCCTAACTGAAATTTTGTATCTTTTAACCAACATCTCTCCAACCTTCCCCTCCCCTTAGCCCATGTTAACCCCTGTTCTATTCTCTGCTTCTACGCATAAGTGAGATCATGCAGTATTTGTCCTTCTGTGTCTGGCTTCTTTCACTTAACACAATGACCTCCTGGTTCATCCATGTTGTTGCAAATGGCAGGATTTCCTTCTTTTTAAAGGCTGAATAAGATTCCATTTGAGTATATACACATTTTCTCTATCCACTCATGCATTGATGGACACTTAGGTGCTCCCATATCTTGGCTATTGTGAATAATACCACAATGAACATTTGAGTGCAGCTATCTCTTCAACATACTGATTTCATTTCCTTTGATACATATGTAGTAGTGGAATTGCTGAATTTGGTGGTTATATTTTAATTTTTTGAGGAATTGAATCTCCATACTACTTTTCATAATAACTGTGCTAGTTTACATTTCTACCAACATTGTATAAGGGTTCCCTTTTAGCCACATCCTCACCATCTATTTTTTTTTTTTTTTGAGACAGTCTCACTCTGTTGCCTGGGCTAGAGTGCAGTGACATCAGCCTAGCTCACAGCAACCTCAATCTCCTGGGCTCAAGTGATCCTACTGCCTCAGCCTCCCAAGTAGCTGGGACTACAGGTATGTACCACCATGCCCGGCTAATTTTTTGGATATATATTTTTAGTTGGCCAATTAATTTCTATTTTTAGTGGAGACGGAATCTTGCTCAGGCTGGTTTTGAACTCCTGACCTTGAGCGATCCTCCTTCCTCGGCCTCCCAGAGTGCTAGGATTACAGGCGTGAGCCACCGTGCCCGGCCCTCAAAGCATGTACAATATTGACTGAACTTGTAATTGCTGTATTACATCCACAGCTTCCTTAGCTGTCAGGGCCTAATCACATGGGAACTTTGCTGTGTTTTCCTGGTTCTCCCTTCTTAGTGGAGCAACGAGTTCTATCATCTTCCTCCCCACTTCCTCCCCACTACCAAATGGCTTTGATAGTGAGTTGAGAGAAGATTGGATGGGGTGTTAGGATTAAGCTTGGAGCAAAGCATGGCACTCAATTTCATGCCTGCCAAAATCCATTTAGGTCAGAGTCAAATTTTTTGAGTCTAAATCCCTTAGGTCCAACATCCTTTATATCAAGTCTCAGTGTAGGCGTAGACACTGTTAACCAGTCCTTCTATAGAATTTAATGGTTTATCTAGCCTGTTCTTGGGATTTTGGCACCTTTAAAACCCATTCGTGGCCGGGCGCAGTGGCTCACACCTGTAATCCTAGCTCTCTAGGAGGCCGAGGCAGGTCGCTTGAGTTCAGGAGTTCGAAACCAACCTGAGCAAGAGCAAGACCCTGTCTCTACTATAAATAGAAAGAAATTAATTGGCCAACTGATAAACATAGGAGTTTGAGGTTGCTGTGAGCTAGGCTGATGCCATGGCACTCACTCTAGCCTGGGCAACAAAGTGAAACTCTGTCTCAAAAAAAAAAAAAAAAAAAAAAAAACCCATTCATGCATTTAGAGCATCCATAGCCTCTTGTATTGCTTCAGAAGAATAAGCTATTGTAAGAAGAGACTC